GTAACCTTGTGTTAAAATATCATTTAATTTCGAGTAGGGTTTTCCGAGTTTTAGACGGGTCTGTGATTACCATACAACAGATAGGCCAACGAGGATAAATAAATGAGATGATTTTTTGTGCGATTTACATGTCATGTAACATCCAAGAATTATGTATTAATTTCGATGTTTCCTCGATAACTATGGCCAGAGGCACATTCATTATAGGCTATAGAAACGGTTGAAACAATGTCGACATTTTATTGTTAAAAAAAATTAAATCTGCAGCCTTGTACAGTTATTTAAATTCCTGTAATGCATATGTATACCTATATAAAAATTATAAGCTTAGCCGAGTATAGTATTCAAGCATTTCCTTCTTTCGCTAACAACAGGTAGACCAGAAACATGGTGTCCTTGAGAAAAAGTAGCGAGCAGCAAGCCTCTGCATTACTTTTGTGTACAGTTAACGCCTTTGAAATCGACAAATCACGCTTGCGGCTCGCCTGGCGGAATACGCTGAATACGGAATGAAGAATATCGGTGAAAAATTACAAAACAAATGAGCGTATTATACAACTTGGATGCTCTACTTGCTTTCGCTGCTACTGAATAGGAGATTGTTCCGAGAGTTTAACTGATTTTAACCTCGATTTGGTTTTGTGAATTTAGCACACTTTAGTGCACAGAGTGTGCAATTTTGTACATTTACTGATATATCAGACCATTTAGCAACTTTTTCCATGAGAGGAAATTGGATGGCGCGACACACTCCTGATATAAACATCTTATTCTAATTTTAGCAATTTTGTGGGCAACTCCACACCAAAACAAATGTCGCGTTAATCCTTTAGTCCAAAAAGCATACATAGGAATTCGTTCACTATACAATAATAGGTTCGTTTTAAGTAACATATTGACAAAACGGTTAAGGGAAACCTTGGTTCTCTCTATCGTTAAATATGGATTCTTTGTTTATTTTCCTTGTCCAGATCACATATGTATGTATACACAGAGCCGAATGATAGAAAACATATGCTCTCACTTTATTAATGAAATTAGAAAATCTGACCATGTATCTGAAAAAAAGGACTTGAATTGGTTGAAAACATCAGTAGCATTCCAACATGATATCACGATTTTGTACACAAATTGATCAATGATCCTACATCTCCAGGACAAAATATATTTGGGATTAAACCTTCATACTTTAAACATAAGAGACTAACCATCTCTAGACATGCCTTCTCACTTAACAAGCTGTTTTCCTAGAAGTTTTACGTATCAACAAATCACCAATATAAACTCACTTTCTTTGGAACTCAATTACCGGCACGAAAAACAAGGGTAGCAATATTTGTACGATAGAATTGTTAGCGTATTATTACAGTTTAACAAGTAGGATAAGTAAGTTTGTAGTGTGAAGATAGGCTTATTTCATTTGTCTATTTACATTCTTTAATTTTGAAATATTCCAGTGTACTACGTCTACCTAAGGTTAGGTGTAAGAGTAGCTTTAAGCGTATTAATATTATTATTCTCTTGTCAAAGACTGAAAGTAGATGATCCTAGACCTATTCAGGTTCAGTATAAACGCCTTATATCAAGATTATCCAGATCCTAAATAAATATTATCTGTTTCGATCTAAACGTAGTGATTAAGAATTTGTTGATGGCCATATCCGAACTCAGGATCCCAACTTACCTTAGTGTATCGAACTTGGTCCGATTGTAACATCGAATGATATTAGTGGAAATTTTGCCATGAAAAACTTAATTTTAAAGCCATTTTAAAAATCCTTGCACGACATCAGTTTTTCACTGAAATTCATCGGAGGCGCTAAAAAATCCCATTTTTCTGCTCCTAATAGGCGTTTGCTACACTGAATATTTTCGAAACCATCCTCCCAAATTACTTTAGAGTGACTTTAATGCCCGAATATTAAAACTGAGCAACCATTAATTTTACTGTCTTCCTACAAGCTAATACATATCATTAGAGGTAATCTATTGATGCCCTTTAAACAATCTTATCGTATAATTAATACTATCACGACTTGTTCCTCTTCAGTCGGCCGACAGCGCTACGGTTGTTCGTCAGCTGAAGAGCATTGGTGTATTGATGTAGCCTTCCTTCGTACCTGACCGCTACTTTCTTGATCTCGTCAATAACCAGAGAGGTATTCAAATCGCGATAAATGCCTCTAATACGAGTATACCAAGAGGCATTGATCATGATCTTCAGAACTTTATTGTGTTATGGAGCTTGAATTCTTGAAACAGCTCCATAACTCACAACCATAGAGCCACAAAGGTTTAGAGATATTATCATAGATCATGATTTTGCTATTGAGCGACATAACCGGTAATGTTGCTTGTAGCACAGGTTCAGCTTTTTTTTTTGATGGGGTGTTTCAACTTGAGCCTGATGTCAAAACAGCATTCAGCGTTTAGCTGTAGTGGCATGATAGTGCCATTAACGCTTATTTGAGGAGTACTTCATTCAGGTTGATTTTACACTTCTCCAGTGATCTATCGAATTCTGGAGCCTTTTTGTGGCTGATGTCATTGAAAACAAATTTTGAAAAATGTTCACGTATATTTAATTTGAACAGAAACTCATTTCTTTTTCAGAACATCTGTCAATTGTTCTCTGAAACCTCAAATGCACGATTTTTCAACTTTTAAGAGAGTTTCGGGACGGTTTAGCATGTTTTTGGTGGCCATATTGAAAATCAGCATCCTAAATTTCTCCAGTATATCCAATTTTCTTCCCATATAGCCACGTAAAACAAATGAAAATGTTGCACGGTGAAACTGTTAAAGTTCAAAGGCGAGCACCGACCAAGAGTATTCAAAACTAAATTGGTATATTGTTGAACATACATACGAACCCCTTCCCACTTCAGTTGGCCCAACTATTGAAATCTTAGTTTTTTTCTTATCAAACACAAATAATAAAAATGTAGCAGGGTGTTATAGGTTTAAAATATTAACAATGAATATTTTGATAATATATAGTAGAAAACACCAACTTTATCACTTCCTAATCGAATTTGCAGCATAAAAATAACACATGTTGCAATTACAGCATATCAACCTATTTTCATTTCAATGTAAAATAAGTCTATAGCGCATAGGTGGCTGTGAAAAATAAAAGCCATGACAATTTTTTTTATTAATCACAGCTGTCAGAATACGTTTAAACTAGTTTTGGGTAGTTATGGTTTTCAAAATGGGTAGAGGAAAGTTTATTAGTGAGAAAATTCGGTTACTGATAATTAATTTTTTTAATTCTGAGAAATCAAACTCTGAAATTGCAACTTTGTTAGACTTATCGCGGTACAGTGTGAGAAATATTGTTAGAAGATATAACGTAACTGGTGCAGTTAATATTAAGCCACGGTATGTGAAAAAAAGTAATATCACAAATGTCAACCGAAGACTATTAAGAAGAATAATCGTGAAAAACAGGTGTGCCAATTATTTACAATTAAGTGCTCTGTGGAGTGACGCTGTTGGAAGGAGAATTTCGAGGTCCACAACTCATAGAGAGGCCCACAAACTGGGATTTAGCACTTGCAAGGTAAGTTTTCTTATAAAAAAAAGTGAAGTAAAAACCCTAAAGTTGCACAACTTGTTTATAGGCCAAAGAAAATCCACTATAAACTCCACTGCAAAAGAAAAATCGGCTTAGATGGGCTAAAGAACATAGACAATGGACACCTCAACAATGGTGTGCAATACAATGGAGTGATGAGGCCCCATTCGAAATGAAATGAAGCATTCCGTGTTGACTGTCTGAAGAGAAAAGTGAAATTTTCAGCATCCATTATGGTCTGGGGTAGTATGTCATCAAAAGGAGTAGGAAAACTTCATTTTGTTGATTGAAATGTGGATACAAACAAATATTTGGCAATTTTAGAAGAATCGCTTTTACCAGTGATGGAAGAATGTTTGACATCCGGCCCAGATTTTGTGTTTCAGCAAGATGGTGCAGCGTGCCATACTTCAAAAAACGCTATAAAATAGATGGAAGAAAATAATGTACCACTTTTGAAATGGGTTTCTAGCAGTCCAGATCTGTCACCTATTGAAGCTTTGTGGCACGAGATGAAAAAGGTTCTACGACAACATCCTGCTCGTGCAATCACCGACAAAAGCTTCAAGAAATATGGGATTGTTTTACACCAAATTTTTGCCAAAACTTGGTTAACACTATGCCCCAAAGAATTTCAGCCGGAATAAAAAATAAAGGTGATGTTACCCAATGGTAATCTTTCAATTGTTGCTTTGTTAACTTCGCGCATTTATTCGCACATTGTTTATTTGTTCAGATGTTCTATTAGTTGTAGGTCTAAGTGATTTCAAATGTGTATTTTTTACGAGTAGACTGTATCTAAAATGTTTTTGAGAAAATAAATTGTTTTAGAAGTAAATAGTTTCGTCATGTTTTGTTTATAAAGGCATATTTTGGTACAAATCTTGAAGTGGGCCAACTGAAGTGGGAAGGGGCTCGTATATGAAATTGGACACCCTAGTTGAATGTAGTAAAACAATGTAGCGTCGGTATTGAAAACACCATCCCACCATTCATATACAGAACACCTGAGTTTACCAATCTTATACATTTTCTGCTCTATTTTTCGCCTCCCAATGGAGCTTGGACACTTTGTGACTATCGTTTATTGTGGTTCATATCTAGAAGCCGAATTACTTCAAGAAATATCAATATTTTACCCTTTGAAAACCAAAACAATCCTATATAGAGCACGATCCTACATCTAGTATCTACAATAAGATGATTGAAAACTAGTGTATGCCGTGACATAGCGTTTCCTGATTGCACGATAGACTTAAACCATCTCGAATAAAAACTAGTATCAAACAAATTATTGTATATTCTTAATCTTCTACTATCTATATGTGCTAGTAATGACCCGAAACGTGTATTGTTCATATCCAAAAACCCAGCTAACTCAAAATCGTCCATGTTTTACGCCTTTCGCGACAATCGCCATCTTTTCCTAACACCCCACATCCATTTCAGATGCAACACTTCTTTATTAACAATGATCTGAAGACATTATATCAGAAATGAAGATCAAGCACTACCCAGGAAAGGCCGTGGTCCATGATCCAGCATGGCTGGAGATGGACATACCAAACACGGCCAGAGGAAAACAGTACGAGGCAAATTGGGAAAGCACCCAGCAGTCATTGTCCAACAGCAATTCTTGGGACAAATACAGCCATAGGAGCTTAGATGGTACTAGTACCATATCCAGCAGGCTGGGTCAGTACCAGAGCATGCTGGATGATATTAAGAAAGATAATGATGATACGTATTCAGTACCAATCAAAACTGGAAAGGATAGCATGAGATTGAAGTATCATAGTGAGAGGTGCTTGTCTAGGATCAACTCAAAGACCAAGAAGGATTATGAGGAACAAATAGCAAAGTACTTCTTGCCTTCTCAGAAGGAAAAGTCGATAGATGTGGTACCCCCTAAGCCTAAACCTAGAAAGAAACTCATGAACGACAAAGAGAAATTCAAAATTGTGATAGACGACCTCCAGAAGCACATCAAGAAGTCTGTGAGGTTTGATGAGATCGAAACCGAAATCGGTGATACCGAAGATCTCAAAGAAAGCCATGTTGATGAAGAAACAACCATGGAGAGATTAGAAGATGCTGAGGAGGTGATTCAAGAGAGAATCAACACTTGGGTCGACGACCAAAATAAGTTTTTGAATAATGATAAACCTGAGGGCAAGAATTCTCTGTCTAGAACGGACAGCGGGTATTACGAACATTCAGAGAAACCCAGGCAAAGGCTTCCGCCGAAAAACATACTCCCACCTTCTTCTTCTTCATCTAGCTCATCTTCAAGTGATCACAACATCTACGCGAAAAGCTCCACGTCTTCAGAAAGTGACTACAACGAATTGTATGACATATACAAGGAAGGTTCCAGTCCTAAGCATAAAAAAGGGCTGAGAGTGCGTGAAAGGACTAAGGGTAAAGCGCCTATGAATAGCAGGTGTAGGGATCCAAATGACTTTGCTATTCCGCGACCAAAGTTGATAGTGCCCGTTCATACTTATGGTGCCATGAGGAAGAGGAGGACTGGGAATTTGCTGTCTTCGGATTGTTATGATTCTTCCGACGTGAACAGTTTGCTGACGACCTCAGGGCGTAGGAAAAAAGGTCAGTTCATAGAATATAATTTTTCACGTACCGTAGTAGACAGGTAGATACCTGACACGTTGTGTCTCACCACGACAATTATTTCTTCCTCCTTTTTTTATATAACTCTGGAGAGGAAGCAGAAATCTACCCGAAAGGTAAATAAGCATGTTTTTCGGAATAAGTCTAAACTAAAAAAAGGATATGGAGAGGACACTCCAATGAGTGATCTCTATCTAATACTGAATTAATTGTTTATGTTATCACCAAGTCAGCTGACGAATGGCGTTTTAACCTATTAACTAGCTCATTACACTGGACAACAAATTTTAGTTTTTTAATTGTATCTTGTGGGAAAAGTGCACTTCTTTGTTAATTTTGGGGCGCTGAATCCAAAAATGACAATGAAATAAAAAAATTAGTTGCGGTTTAGAAAAAAAACTTTTTATTTTTAAGGATATATTAAAAAAGTAACAAGATTCATATACTTATAAGAATCACTATATGCGCTGTATTTTTGCTGTTCTTTTATGGATCATTTCTGGAGCATCTCTACCAAGAGTCCAACAGTAGTCTGCAAGCATGGAAGGATTCCACTTTCCCTGGTACCTTTTTTCCATTGTTGAAATATCCTGATGAAAACGTTCGCCGTGCTCATCACTTACGGCTCTGCAATTGTCAGGAAAAAAGTCCAGGTGTGAGTGTAGGAAATGTATCTTAAGAGACATATTACAGCCCATCTTTTGATACGATGACAGCATATTTTTGACAAGGGTTTTATAGTTGTCAGCTTTTCTATTTCCCAAGAAATTAGTGACCACCAGACGGAAATCATTCCAAGCAGTTTTTTCAATACCTGTTAAAGTGTTTTCAAACTGTGTATCTTTCAAAATATTTCGAATCTGTGGCCCAACAAAAATACCTTCTTTAACCTTTGCCTCACTTAGTCTTGGAAATTTCTGACGCAGGTATTGAAAAGCTGACCCATCTCTATCTAATGCTTTGACAAAGTTTTTCATTAGGCCCAACTTGATATGCAGTGGTGGTAATAAATTTTTTTTCGAATCTACTAATGGCATATGCTGGACATTTTTTGACCTGGCTCTAGGAATTGACGAACAGGGGCCAGTTTTGTCTGGTGTAATGAAGTGCCTTTGTCCGACTGTCCCATTCACACAAAAAAAAAGCAAAACTTTGTGTAGCCTATCTGCCCAAGTAAAAGTGCAACAACTTTCAAATCGCCACAAATATGCCATTGGTGCTCATCGTATTTTATGCATGTCAATAGGTACTTCATATTGTCATATGATTCTTTCATGTGAACTGCATACCCTACAGGAAGAGATGGTAAAATATTTCCAATATGCAATAACACTGCCTTTAAACTCAATGTTGAACTGTCTATAAACAATCTCCATTCTTCTGGGTTATAGTTTATATTTAAAGCCGCCAGTAAGCCGTTAATGTTACTGCAGAAAACCAAGTTATTCTCCATATTGAAAAATGGTTCTAAGTCTTTGTGGCGTTTACGAAAAACATATACCGAAACATCGTCTTCTAACAAGTTCCACTGCTGCAGTCTTGATCCAAGTAACTCTGCCTTACATTTTGGAAGTTCTAAATCTCTTACAAGATCATTTAATTCTGACAGTGTTATTTTGTGCGGTTGGTGGCATGACGTGCTCGGTGTAAAATCAGGATCTCTTGACATTGATGGCATATCTTCTTCCTGACGAATCACTCGATCGCCATGATCTGATTCGTTTTCTGATTCGGAAGTGTAGGATTCTGGGGGTTTTGGAATACGATTTTCGTCACTGTGAGGCACAGGTCTCATCGCAGATGGTATGTTAGGGTAGTTAATAACCGATTTTTTTTTCTTGGACATACCTGTGGCTTGTCCAACACAAGGTACCATGCAAAAGTAACAATCATTAATATGATTTGGAGGCTCTCTCCAAACCATTGGGACAGCAAAGCGCATAGACCGTTTTTTGCCATTTAACCAGCTCCTCAGACTTGAAGCACATGTATTACAGCAGATGTGGGGTGCCCACTGTTTGTCTTGATCACCTAGTTTACAACCGAAATAAAGCTGATATGCCTTTGTTATTAGTGGAGTAATAGACCGTCTCTGAGACGCAAAAGTCACATCACCACACACGTAACAAAACTGATCTGGATTGTTTACACACTTTCGAGACATCTTGCATGAACGCTGTCAGCCAACTGAGGAAAAAATGGCTAATATAAAACAATATAATGTACACGTATGTATAACGTAACACAATCATGCCGATTACATCATCTTTCTTTGCCGAATATAAAAATGTAGCACGTGCATTCTTGTGAATTACAGCATATTAACACTGTCACAGCAGGAACACATATAATTACCGTATCTCTAACACTTGAACTAATATTGAAAAAATAAGTTTCATTCCGGTTTCAGCACATTAAAAATAGTAATATTTTGTTGATTTTGTTTAGGATATTTTTTGGCTGTTGATCAGTGTTATTAGACTTAGCACATTAGGATGTCTTCCATTTCTTGAGAAAAAAATCATTAGCTAGTTCTTTAGGGAATTCTAAGACTATTTTGTCGATTGGCGTGCACAAAAGAGAGTGCTCCTAGACATAAGTATATCTTTGATCTAATGTCCGTTTCTTAATAACTGTAAGAGCTATGTTTCTTTGAAACAATAAAATTACCTACCATATTTCAAGTATCTGTGATGTACAATCAATGTCAATTTCAAAGGAGCTCATGCAATTTACAAAAAAGCACTTGGTTTCGAAGATGCGGCATAGGAAACAAGGCGCAACTAAAAGCTCTTATTAGCAAAAATCAGCGAAGCTTCTTACAAAGATTGTTTGAAATTAATAGGCTCCAACTTTATATGTTTCCGAACTCTATAAAAACTGCATTTTCAATAATCAATAATTTAGATCTATTGTTCAAAGATAACGCAGTTTATTTTCTTGTATTGGAAAAGACATATTTTATTTTGAACATGAGTAAGAATGTGCAGCTGAAGTCTGGCCGGTTCGTCTAGTTAAGAAAGATAGTCCTAGAATATCCTAAAAAAAATCTTTAACTGAATTTTTGTTACAATTTCAAGTAACACCTGGTTTATTCTCTTCTACCTGATATAAAGTTTAAAGCGGATGTCCACATTCACAATAAAAGTTATTTTTTGTGCCGATGGTGTCCCTCATTCAAAAATGAAATCTAGTTAGGAATAATAACAAAAGGACATTGAGTATAAGAAAAAATCAATCTCTCCGTGACGCATTGTAGTCATGGTAGGTTCTGTTCTCGTTATATCAGATGATTCAGTGGATTCTATCTTGTCTTGATAGGATGAGTAGTCGTTTAGTAAAACCCACACCATATCATGTGGTTTACTAATAGGGCTATTTAGCTTTAGGCTTTAATACATCCTTCGCAAGCCTTGTGTAAGCATTATAATGCAATATATTAAGAGCGGCATTTAATTTTGAAACCAAAAGCAACAACTCATAGAGAAGATGGCACAATATTGGATACAATTATTCTTTCTAATATATTATCACATCAGAAACGTTTAAATTAGGCTCGATGTTCCTTTTATACCATCATCAATTTCTACTTTTCCGATGCATTACATAAACCTGCAATATTTCCTGTTCGTAAGACGTTAATTGGACAAAATGATTTATAAAACCCTCTAACATGTGTTGATTATGCAGAAGTCTATGTGTAATTAGCAGGAATGTGAATAGGCTTATCAATATACATTAAAGGAAAGGAGGATGTCCAGTGTATCATCTGATACAAGTTTGCTACGCTAAATGCATACTTGTATGACTTATAGACCGGTAATTTGCGGATATTTTATACCATAGATTGAATATATAGGTTGAGAAGTAAGCCACTATATTTAATGTGCGAGATCGATAAGGACCTATTAGTTATTACACAGGGTGTCCCAATATTCCATGGACATAGAAGTACCACGTATTTTCAGACTCAAAATAAGTCTATTGGATATTATTTACCTCTATGCAAAAGTGTCTGTTTGTTTGTTAGAGGGCTTCAAATTTTTTTTATAAAACATTTTTTAAGATATTTTAATAACCTATAGTGCGATTTGAATGAAATTGAGAAAACTTATTTTGGCAGACGTTATTATATTTGACTTTTACGAAAAACTCTAAAGGGCATGAGGAGGGTAAAAACTACCCCTGCCTCTATATAAAGGTGTCATTATTGTTTAATGTATTCAGCTTTTTGAATAATATCCCCATCTAAAAAAATCGCAAGGATTAAGATCCAGGGAATGAGGTGGCCATTGAATAGGAATTTCTTGACCTCTACCATTAAATGTCTCGTTCAAGTAGTTTCTTATAGCACACTCAAGATGAGGTGGGGCACTATGAGGCATAAAAAAGTTCTTCTAATAATTCAGTTAAAACTTTTTGTTGAAAATGAAGGAAGCTATCTCCGTTTAGTTTATCAGGCGACCTATATGGATTATTGAAAACTGCATGCAAATTTTTTTAAAACCAGTTCCGAAAAACATTTTCTTCTCGAAAACTATACGAGATCGCCTCTTTTTATAAGAGTGAAAAAATGAAGTAAATAAAAGGATGTTTTAAATAGTTTTCACCCTTCTCGAATCCTTTGGGCTCGGAGTGCCGGTTAGAGGTAAATCATGCCCAATCGACTTTGAGATTAAAATACGTGGCACTTCTATGTCCACGGATTATTGAGTCGCTCTGTATACCATACATGCAATTTTATAAGATTTAAATATTTTTATTGTATAGTACCATTTACCTTAACCCATACGCAAATCAACGATCATGACGTTTCATACTCATTTTTCAAATGACGGTGCTGTTGCGTTTTGTAGAACTTCCGATTTCACTGTTTTTTCACTTGAAACTTATAGAGGGTAGTCTGATACATTATTTTAAAACAAGAAAAGTGTGGATGAAGCACTTTTTTCATGAAAAATTTTTCCCAAAACACTGTATTTTTAACAGTTTTTCCACCATTAACTCCACCGCCATCCGCCGTATGACGTTGACGTCTGTGCATATGTCATAGTATATGAGAGGCGCTTGCCTGCACTGTTGCCAGATTGGGCTCCGCATTTAGGGGAAAATATGAAAAGTGGAAAATTTATATAGATACGTATAATAAATAATGAAACACAAAAGCGAATAACTGAAACAAACAACAGTGGCAAAATGAAAAGCGATGCTTAATAATTATAAAACAAAACATAACAGTAGAAAACTAAAAAACAATTATTGTAAATAATTATAAAAACAGTAAAACAAGAAACAATTCCATTTAATTATAAAAAACAAAAAACAACACAGTAAAATAGAAAGCAATTCTAAGTTGTAACAAAAAAAGAACAGTAGTAAAACAAAAAAAAACAATTTCATGTAATTATAAAAAACAACAAACAGTAAAATAAAAAGCAATTCTAAGTGAAAACAAAAAGTAAAAACAGTAAATTAAAAAACAAATCCAAAAACTAAAATGAACAGAAAGTATTCAATATTAAAAGGTATACTTTGCGGCAATTTGTCGCAATATATTTTTGAATCGGTCTCCGGGTCTAGGACCATAGAGCTCCCACCAAATCAACTGGTCAATATATTCGGGTAAATGAGGCGATTGCATGACACCCAGCCGCCTCAAAAATTGCTTTAATCTAGATCAGTGCCCTTCAATTTCATTGTGCACACTCCTGTCACTGGATCCACAAAATTTAGTGTGCGGTTCAATGTTTCATGGATGTAGGGGGAAACACCTCCTAGGTTCCCCAAGCGATTGTAGCCGGCCCAACCGTCCTTCCAGATTTCTGTTCCCGGCTTGACAAATTTTAGTATTTCTCTCTCAAGCGTAGTCGCATCCTATTTGGAACATAAATAATGTGCCCACGATTCGTGGAGACATCGAAGAGGCCCAGGACCCACAGTTCCCTGTGTTCTTTTTTGTTTTCTATAATTACATGGAATTGTTTCTTGTTTTACTGTTTTTATAATTATTTACAATTGTTTTTTAGTTTACTACTGTTATATTTTGTTATATAGTTATTAAGAATCGCTTTTTATTTTGCCACTGTTGTTTGTTTCAGTTTTTCGCTTTTGTGTTTCATTATTTAAATATACGTATATAAATTTTCCACTTTTCATACTTTCCTCTTAATGCGGAGCCCAATCTGGCAACAGTGCAGGCAAGCGCCTCTCATATACTATGACATATGCACAGACGTAAACGTCATACGGCGGATGGCGAAGGAGTTAATGGTGGAAAAACTGCTAAAAATACAGTGATTTGGGAAAAAAATTTCATGAAAAAAGTGCTTCATCCACACTTTTCTTGTTTTAAAATAATCTATAAGACTACCCTCTATAAGTTTCAAGTGAAAAAACAGTGAAATCGGAAGTTCTACAAAACGCAACAGCACCCAAATAACTACACTAAAAGCCAATTTTCAATACCTTCTCGATTATTTTAAAATACTCAACAATTTTTTGAAGTAAAGTTTAGTTGTCAAAGTGGCATAATGAGCTTAACAGGATAAATTTTAAATGACATTAATTATTTACTTACCTGGGCGTTTTTTGAATCATTTATCTAGTGTGAATAAAGTTACTACTCGGTGAGGCATTGTTTTCAACGATTGTGATCTCTCGGGTTAGTAATGTAAAAAGAGGTATTTAGTATGATTAACGGATAAAAAAAGATTTGCATTCCAACAAAACACATTGTTGAGAAAAATTCTCCGCGATACTGGGAGCTTCAAATTTCACTCGTCAAGTTACGGCATGACAGCCGCTTAGTGTCACGGTATGCGTACGCCTCTCGGCATCGAAGAGCATTTGCGGCATTCCCTGGCTGCCAAACTAAGCATATTTGATATTGACAATGTCGTTAGCTGATGGGATGACGACGCATGCTCGCAATATCACAGAGGACTTGTCTTGTCAGTTGTCGAAGAATGCCGTGGCATGTCGTCGCCTCTCGGCATCGGAGAGCATTTGCGGCATTCCTTGGCTGCCAAGCTATACATATTGACACTTTTGTTAGCTGATGGGATAGCCACAGATGTTCACGGTATCACGGAGGATTTTTCTGGTCAGTTGTAAAAGAATGCCGCAGCATCTCGATACCTCTCGGCATCGGAGAGCATTTGCGACATTCCTTGGCTGCCAAGCTATACATATTGACACTTTTGTTAGCTGATGGGATAGCCACAGATGTTCACGGGATCACGGAGGATTTTTCTTATCAGTTGTCCAAGAATACCTCTCTGCATCGGAGAGCATTTGTGGCATTCCTAGGCTGCCCAGCTGTTCATATTGATACTTTGTGAGCTGATGGGATGTCGATGGATGCTTCTGGTATCACGCAGAATTTTTATCGTCAATTGTCGAAGAATGCCGCGGCATGTCGACGTCTCTCGGCATCGGAGAGCATTTGCGCCATTCCTTGACTTCCAAGCTATACATATTGATACTGCTGTTAGCTAATGTGATGGCAACGAATGCTCATGGAATTATGGAGGATTTTTCTCGTCAGTTGTCAAAAAATGCCGCGGCATATCGATACCTCTCGGCATCGGAGAGCATTTACGCCATTTGTTGATTTCCAAGCTATACATATTGATACTGTTGTTAGCTGATGGGATGACAACGGATGCTCACGGTATCACGGATGCAGTTGTAAAAGAATGCCGCAGCATCTCGATACCTCTCGGCATCGGAGAGCATTTGCGGCATTCCTGGGCTGCCAAGCTATACATATTGACACTTTTAGAAGCTGATGGGATAGCCACAGATGCTCACGGGATCACGGAGGATTTTTCTTATCAGTTTTCAAAAAACGCCGCGGCATATCGATAACTCGGCATCGGAGAGCATTTGCGGATTTACTTGACTGCTCAGCTATACATATTGACACTTTTATTAGCTGATGGGATGACAACGGATGCTCACGGTATCACGGATGATTTTTCTGGTTAGTTGTAAAAGAATGCCGCAGCATCTCGATACCTCTCGGCATCGGAGAGCGTCTACGGCATTCCTTGGCTGTCAAGCTATACATATTGACACTTTTGTTAGCTGATGGGATAGCCACGGATGCTCACGGTATCACGGATGATTTTTATGGTCAGTTGTAAAAGAATGCCGCAGCATCTCGATACCTCTCGGCATCGGAGAGCATGTGCGGCATTTCTTGGCTGCCAAGCTATACATATTGACACTTTTGTTAGCTGATGGGATAGCCACGGATGCTCACGGCATCACGGAGGATTTTTCTTATCAGTTATCCAAGAATACCTCTCGGCATCGGAGAGCATTTGTGGCATTCCTAGACTGCCAAGCTGTTCATATTGATACTTTGTGAGCTGATGGGATGTCGATGGATGCTTCTGGTACCACGCAGATTTTTTATCGGCAATTTTCGGAGAATGCCGCGGCATGTCGACGACTCTCGGCATCGGATAGCATTTGGGGCCTTCCCTGGCTGCAAAGCTATAAACATTGATGCTATTGTTAGTTGATGGGATGACGACGAATGCTCGCGGTATCACGGAGGATAGTCTTGATAGTTGTCGGAGAATGCCGTGGCATGTCAACGTCTCTCGGCATCGGAGAGCATTTGCGCCATTCCTTGACTTCCAAGCTATACATATTGATACTGTTGTTAGCTAATGGGATGGCAACGGATGCTCACGGTATCACGGACGATTTTTCTCGTCAGTTGTCAAAAAACACCGCGGCATATCGATACCTCTCGGCATCGGAGAGCATTTGCGCCATTTGTTGACTTCCAAACTATACATATTGATACTGTTGTTAGCGAATGGCATGGCGACGGATGCTCACGGTATCATGGAGGATTTTTCTCGTCAGTTGTCAAAAAACGCCACGGCATATCGATACCTCTCGGCATCGGAGAGCATTTGCGCCATTTGTTGACTTCCAAACTATACATATTGATACTGTTGTTAGCGAATGGCATGGCGACGGATGCTCACGGTATCACGGAGGATTTTTCTCGTCAGTTGTCAAAAAACACCGCGGCATATCGATACCTCTCGGCATCGGAGAGCATTTGCGTCATTCCTTGACTTCCAACCTATACATATTGATACTGTTGTTAGCTGATGGGATGACAACCGATGCTCACGGAATCACGGATGATTTTTCTGGTCAGTTGTAAAAGAATGCCGCATCTCGATACCTCTCGGCATCGGAGAGCGTTTGCGGCATTCCTTGGCTGCCAAGCTATACATATTGACACTTTTGTTAGCTGATGGGATAGCCACAGATGCTCACGGTATCACGGAGGATTTTTCTTAACAGTTGTCCAAGAATAACTCTTGGCATCGGAGAGCATTTGTGGCATTCCTAGACTGCCAAGCTGTTCATATTGATACTTTGTGAGCTGATGAGATGTCGACGAATGCTCGCGGTATCACGGAGGATTGTCTTGATAGTTGTCGAGGTCTCTCGGCATCGAAGAGCATTTGCGCCATTCCTTGACTTCTAAGCTATACATATTGATACTGTTGTTAGCTAATGGGATGGCAACGGATACTCACGGAATCACGGATGATTTTTCTGGTCAGTTGTAAAAGAATGCCGCAGCATCTCGATAACTCTCGGCATCGGAGAGCGTTTGCGGCATTCCTTGACTGCCAAGCTATACATATTGACACTTTTGTTAGATGATGGGATAGCCACAGATGCTCACGGTATCACGGAGGATTTTTCTTAACAGTTGTCCAAGAATACCTCTCGGCATCGGAGATCATTTGTGGCATTCCTAGACTGCCAAGCTGTTCATATTGATACTTTGTGAGCTGATGAGATGTCGATGGATGCTTCTGGTATCACGCAGAATTATTCTCGTCAATTGTCGGAGAATGCCGCGGCATGTAATGCCTCTCGGCATCGGAAAGCATTTGAGGCATTCCCTGGCTGCAAAGCTATAAATATTGATGCTATTGTTAGCTGATGGGATGACGACGAATGCTCGCGGTATCACGGATGATTGTCTTGATAATTGTCGGAGAATGCTGTGGCATGTCGAGGTCTCTCGGCATCGGAGAGCATTTGCGCCATTCCTTGACTTCCAAGCTATACATATTGATACTGTTGTTAGCTAGTTGGATGGCAACGGATACTCACGGTATCACTGCTGATTTTTCTGGTCAGTTGTAAAAGAATGCCGCGGCATATCGTTACCTCTCGGCATCGAAGAGCATTTGCGGCATTTCCTGGCTGCCAAGTTATACATATTGATACTGTTGTTAGCTGATGGGATGCCGACGGGTGCTCGCGGTATCAAAGGGGAATAGTAGATAGAGTTTGTATGTTCTGGGACGCCCTTGAGCGCGCCGACCTTCGGTGCCAAACGACCTTGAGAGCTGACCGTCGGTGCCAACCTTGAAATGTGACCTTTTTGAAAATTTTCAAAGCATGCTTTTTGGCATCGGAGAGCATTTGCAGCATTTCCTGAGAATGCGGTGGCATATTGATTCTGTAAGTTGATAGGATAACGAGAGACGCTTCCGGCATCGTCAGTTTTCGGTACTCTATTCTACAGTCTCCGACTGTGAGCTGGTTTGAACAACGGTTCTATAAAAAATCGAAGTATACTTTTTTGCATGATCTCATCTCTGAGATTGCCGCAACCCACACAGGCAATAATAATCGCCCTCAGTTGAACAAACAGAATGCAATCTAGATAAATAAAACACGCATCGAAGAACGCTGATGGTAAATGGGCTTGGCAGCAACATCATACATACGCGTACATTGTCAGACGTCTCAGTTGAGACCCGTGGGTCGCGTTCGCATCGCTAATTGGCAGGTGGCTGTGACTTTGGCTGCGTCACGACCTTACGACGCACAATAGAACATCGGGTTGCTGACGAGAAGAATAAAAATACTAAGTCTTTGCCATCTATGCACGGTTACATAAAGTAAGATTGTACAATGGTAAATGGCACTCCAATGGAGAACGTTTAAAGAATTGCGAGACTGGTTTTTGACAGATGATGTGGAATTTTTCCCTAAAACGAGTCGAAAAGAAAAAATCAAGTTTGTTAGATGCCCTTTAATTTGAACGAAATTCAAAAATTTCAAATTATCTTTCATCTTTTAGGCAATAAAATACATGCATATGACGAGTCAACTTACCTACATGACTAAAAATGATTAATAAATAAAAATATATAAGAAACCAACAACATAACAATTATAGACAAACTCTAAGACGCCATAATAACATTTAGATACAAGGAATTCTTTCAAATTAGTTTTAAACTAAATAATATTGGACCATCCCTTAATATCGTGTGGTAGTAAATTCTAGATCCCAGTATATAGTTTGGCAAAAGCCTCATTCAAGTCACTAACCTGTTGTATAACATTTATCCATTAAGAACATATCTATGTGATTAAAAACATACACATTTCTACCTTTATCTCAATTCGACTTGAACATAGTAACTAGCAACTATCTGTCTGACCCTCAGATAGAACTGTTTCTGGATTTCTGTTGACATAAGTTTCAGAATTAATTTTTGAGACTGGATTCTCACAATGTTCTCCAAAATTCAGGCTCACATCAAGATATAATTCAGAAAACTCCTACTTTTAAGCTATCTTCATTGATCTTTTTTTCTGAACGGTACGGAACCTCAAGAGCGATGCCTTTTTTCCGAATCCAAATCCAGTTGATTACTGCCAAGACACATATGAATATCTTCAAGTAAATGCTCACAGTTTCTCCTCAATGCAGTACCACATTGGTTTGATATAACAACATGTATCATTCGCATAAAGGGTGAATCCACCTTCAGGAGAACAATGTTCTAAATCGTTGATATATAAGGAGAACAACACTGGACCCAAAATAGATCCCTGAGAAATGCCTATGGTGATGTCAAAGATTTCAGATTTCATGGGCTGTTTAAAAGAAATTAAAAAAAAATAGCGTTTTGCCACAGACAGCTTTAGGTTTTATTGGATTACCTTAGCAACTTTTGCAAGTTTACCGTTTGCTAGTTGTAAGCGAACTATCTAATCCAAAAAGTCCTAGAAGTGGTCATATTCGATGATTGAAAACGAGGTTGAAAATTATTTTTTTGAGATTGCCGACTGTCTAAATTGTGGATCGACCTGTTCGCTACAAGCCTAAGCCTAAAATACGTTTCGAGGTCACTAAAGACAGGTCTAAACATTAATTTAGACAGCTGGCAATTTCAATAATTATAAAGATTTTAGAGTCAGATTGGTCATTTTTTTTGTTTTTGAGATTTCAAATTGCTTATAACTCGAAAAAGGTCAAGAGAAACGATTTTTTTATAATTTGTCTGGAAAAAAATGGTTAAAAGAAATTTACACCAGGGAACCGCCTGGCAACTTCTTGGTTCAAGTTAAGAGGCTACCAACAAACATAACTATTAAAAAAATGAGTTGGAAAATCTCCTAAGCTAAAACTAGTTTAACCGCGTTCGCACCCGAACAGAATTCCGATTCGGAATAGCCAAGGAAAATTAAAATTTTATTCGTTTTAAAAACGGTCTAATTGTCCTGGACTATTCCGAATAGGAATTCCGTACGTGTACGGCCACACTAAATGAACTCTGAATTACCATTTCCCGTGGAAATTTTGATATAGACCTCGACTAGCGACCAAGTCGTAAGACTATTTGGCGATGGACTGTTACAGTAAATGCTAAGTCGAAATTCAAAAATTTATGATACGCACGACGCATTACCATCAATCAAGCAATTGTCCTAATTTCCAACCAAGAGTCATCTTTTTGGGTTCCGCCATTACATTATTATTGGCATCTCCAAATCAGTACAGAGTGTTACTTCTA